TATAGCATCAGGAGTGCACTTCTCACACTGTTTCTCCTGCGAGCTTACCAACTCATTCATTGCCAACATGTATTCCCTCATCTGCCTTTCTGAAGCACTATATTTATTAGACATTATTTCTAACTTTGATGTTAATTGTTCTAGTTCTGACTGCAGGCTCTGGGTATCAGTTTCATATTTCCTAGCACTTTGATTTAATTTTGATGAGTATAAACTAAGTTGTTTCAGAAGCTGGAAACGTTCTCTATTTAATTTTACATTTTTTATGAAGAACTTTTGTCTCTTTACTAATCTGTTTGTTTTAGTTATAAATTTACTGATTCTTATGTATTTCTTAAGCTTCTTATGACTAGAACTAACAAATTTCACTGGGTGACATGCATCATTATCTGTAGTCTGATTTGAAGTTAATGGATTTAAATCTAAATTTACATCACTATATTGTAGTTGAGAAGCTTGGGCTGACACCAATTCACTGAATAAACTATTATTCAAGCCGGCCGTGATGTTTAAGTTTAATATTTCTAGTTCAGAAATTTGACTGTTGGCCTCATGTAGCTGTTGTTTTAGTAGCGTTTTGTCATTTAAAGTGGTTTCATACTCCTCGCTACACTGCTTGAATTCGTCCACAACGAATTGGAGCCTATCCCGGGCCTCAATGGCTTCTGTGTGTTGAATGTTTAACAGAGCCATTTCACGTTTCAGCTTCTTGTTTTGGTCCAAAATAAGCAAGAATTCCCTCTCATTGTCATCCCTTTCCCCCAACAATTGATCACACAACTCCTTTGATGCCTTCAATTCGCTCAAAGCCAGGCTGAGTTTAGACTCCTCTTGGCGAGCATGGGCTTTGCGAGTGAGAATCATTTTGGAAGTTTAAAGGTAAGAGATAGAATTAGAAAGTTATAATGGAAGCTGAAATTATTATGTAAATTAAGGTAAGGAAGTTACTAGATAAGTTAAGTAAAAGTTTGCTTAGACAAAGAAGTTGTGCCACCAACTACAAAAAGGGTAATTTTTATTGTTATTTTGACCGCGAATGTTTGTTGCGCTACATGAAATCAATGTAAACACGAAAATAAAAAGGCAAAGTAGCTAATTACGTTGAAATAATACTGTATTTTACCTGATATCGAGATGACAATGCAGCGAAATCCTTAATGCCGGTAACCTTACATTTATTAACTTCACAATTTTCACTTTGAAAGCAAGCAAACTTTGAAAACTTTATAAATTACATTTAATAATTCAGTGATGAGATGGTTTTAGGCAATATTGTATTTAAAATTAATATATTTTAATAATTAAACAAATTAAAAACAAGGACAATCTTAAATCAGCTGTCAACGCCAGTGATTAAATGACAATGTTAATAGAGAACGCTTAAGCATTGCACGAAATCGGTTTAGAAGTACTAGACCGCGCCACCACTCACATACAGATAAAAATGCCCCAAAGGCAATCTAACAGTGAGATTGTTGTTGTGCATCGAGATCTGGTGAATGTGTTGTTTGTAAGAAGCGCGCGCGACGCGGACGCAGAAATTTGGAAAAAAGAGCCATGTACGAAATGCACATGCGCCGTTCGCAAACGGCGCATTCGCCAGATCTGGACGCAACATTAGTAATTGACGAATAGTAAGGTTACAAGGATAATGAGTGAACACGTTTTGTTTGTAGTTTCAATTTAATTAAAAACAAAAAAAAATCAATCAGGTGAATCGAACACACTTTCGTCTAAATATTCGATGCCAGAAAAGCTCACATTTTGGCTAGAGCTTCCTGCACATTCAGAATCACTAGAATATTCTAATTCTGATAAATCACTGCTACTGTCATCTCTTAGATTTATTACCAGCCGTTCCATCTGTTCATACATAATCGCACCTCTGTCATAATATTCTTTCTCTATTTTCATAACATGATTGCATGAATTCTTCCAGTCTTCAAATCAAATCAAATCAAATCAAATTCTTTATTTCAAATAGACCAAAAAAGGCACTTTTGAACGTCAAGCAAAAAAGATATCATAAGGTTTAACTTTATGTGTCAGTCTGTCCGTCTGTCCTCTAGTGAAGCTATTTGCTCGTTCCAAAGTGTAGATTCCTATGGAGAAGAACGAGCAAGAAACTCCATGGTTACTCTTTTTCAATCACTTTTTACAATGCACAGCTTCAGCAGTAATGTTAGAAAACGCATGTTCAGCAGCCACCTATAAAAATGAAATAATCATTAAAACCATTCCTACATCACAATATTAAATAATTAAGCATGTATAAACTAGGCTACATACCTTTATGTCAATGGACCCAACATTGACTGAAGCAATTTTATGCTTTGCAATTCCCCATATCAATTCAATGGGATTCAGGTCACAGTGATAAGGTGGAAGGCGTACCACAGTATGACCATGATCTCCTAAAAAATGGTCAATTTCGTAAATGGGCTCTGGTTTATGCCACTTCACTAACATTAATAATTGAGGTTTACGGAGAGACTCATCAAAAGGTATATTGTTTTGCAGTAACCATATCTTTATCTCAGCAACCTTTGAAGAACTAGTTGGTGCCTTATTCAAGACAACCGAATGATAAGGAGCATTATCCATTACAATAATGGACGATTCACTTAGGTTGGGGATTAATTTTTCAGTAACCCATTTTGTGAAGTTGGTTTTATTCATTTCTGAGTGATAGTCTTCAGTTTTGTTTGTGCCACTAAAAATCAAAAGTGCATTTGGAACAAATCCTTTGTCACTCCCTGCATGTACAATTATATATCTCTTGCCTTTTGATATATTGTGTTTCACTCCGCTGACATCAACTGACTGCCAACATTTTTTCAGCTTATATGATGAATGAATATAACTTTCATCCAAATATATTATTTGTTTTTGTAGTTCTTCAGGCAGGTTTCTGTTGTCCATAATGATTTTCAAATATTGCTCCCGCTTAGCTGCTATGTGAGGTTTCTCAATTAGAGCTGATCTGTCCGTTTTACACTTCTTATATGAAAAACCCAGAGAATGTAATATCTTTCTGAGATGTTCACGGCTTCCATCATAACCTAAGTCCTCTCTAACTACCGGCAGTAAATTTCTCAATGTAGGCACCTGAAACATAATATTTTGTTATAAATCAGCTTTTTTTAATTAATGAAATCTGGAGTACTCTGTGTATAAACCGTAAGTACCTGCTTTTTCACAGTGTAAAAGAAATGAAACTTTTGTCTAATTGCACACAAATCCAAATTATCCAAATCTTTCCTCGGGCGACCTTTGCGATGTTTTCCCGGTGTTGAAAAAATACCATTATTTTTTTCACCTTCCTGAACAATTTTTCTTATAGTGTTGACAGATTTACCTAAAATAAGAACAGTATTTTATTATTTGATCTATGTTCATTAAACTACAAGTTTCTTGTCTTGGAGGTTGGCGTATACGAAACATGTCAAACTACAAAACATAACCTAAATTTTCAATTTATATAAACAACAATAAAAGTTACATAAATCTGGGTATCTACAAAACAACGCACCGAAAACATATTTAAGACCATATTTAAGGTATAATGTTTTGTTTAAGGTGCATAAATACCTGTCATATCAGCAGTTCTTTGATAAACACTTCCTATATCGGACAAAACTTGTCTCGCTTGAGATTCGGCCAAACACCGCAAATAAACGTGGTAAATCACTGATCTGCCACTACTACGAATAGTTTTATTCATTTTGAATTGTTAGTTTTCTAGCGAAAGTTGATATATATTTTAAATCTTTGAAAAACACTTAGAAAAGACGCACTGTTGACAAAGAATGTACTAGCAGTTGACAAGTGAAGCAATGTTGCCTCAACCATCGCTTTTTAATTCCAACTGTCACCGCGTCAGACTCTTTTTTGCCAAGCTGTACTTTAAAATAATAATTTTATACCGGTTTAAAATGGACGGACATTCCCGCCTGTAGTCGTAATTCTTATTCTGGCTGAATGTCGAACAGATAAACAGCTATTGCTTACTTGACTTTACAATTTAACATAATCTATATTTTTCCTAATATTATAAACCTGAAAAGTTTGGTTGTTTGTTATGAAGGCGGTTATCTCGGGAAATACTGATCTGATAATTATGAAAACTGTTTAAATATTCAATTGTCCATTTATTGATATAGGCTAGTCCTATATTATAGGCTATAATATAGGCAATATTTTATTTTGGTATTTTCACGGAAACGAAGAAAAACGCGTGTGAAACCGCGGGGCACATATAAGAAACGTGTTATCATTGACTGAATACTAAACTTAATGATATTTTGTAACACCTTTTATGTAACTATATTCAAGAGTAAATAAATCCTTTAAAAATGATAATGCAAGAGCCCATGCGGCCGGCATTGCCAGGGAATATCTTCGGGATGCGAACATCACAGTTATGGACTGGCCAACCAGAAGCCGAGTCCATGTTAAGCACACGTGGGACGAGCTAAAAATACGCATTAGGGCTCGCCAGAGTCAGTAGTTGCATAGACGATGCAGGAGTTGAAAACTGCCATAGAAGAGGAATGGGTGATAATCCCTCAAAATTTCATAGAACGGTTGATAAACTCTATGCCTAATCGTATGAGAGCTGTTTAGATGCCCGTGGAGGCATCACGCGTTATTATATTAAAACCCTTATTTGATAAAATATGTTTTTATTAAAAAATCAATTGCGCATATCCGAGTTGTTAGGCGGCTTAGATGTAGCTCCATGTCGTGTGGTATTCTGAATTCAAATCTTTGCACTTACAGTTTTTGTTCAATCTAGCAATCATATTTCGACAGGGGCCATCGCAACCTAAACTCTAAGGTGGGCCATTAGATGTGTCCTGAAGCGTAGATTACCAGATTCAAATTGATCTTTAAAATATTTAAAATTCCGGCCTGTATATGCTTTTATATTGTAATATATAATGTATAATATATGTAATGTAGTGTGTATGTATGTACCGTGAGCCCATTGCCCGCAGAGAACTCGCGGCGCGGCGAGCGCGCGGCCGGCGTGGCGGCGCTGGTGCGGGCGCTGCCGCCGCGCAACCGCGACATGCTGCGCCTCGTGCTGCGACACCTGCGCAGGTACGTGTGTGTGTATGTCCCCCGCCTCACTGCCCCCCGCCCCCCGCCCCCCGCCCCCCCCGCGCCTCGTGGCGGCGCTGGTGCGGGCGCTGCCGCCGCGCAACCGCGACATGCTGCGCCTCGTGCTGCGACACCTGCGCAGGTAGGTGTGTGTGTATGTCCCCCGCCTCACTGCCCCCCGCCCCCCGCCCCCCCCCCCCGCGCCTCGTGGCGGCGCTGGTGCGGGCGCTGCCGCCGCGCAACCGCGACATGCTGCGCCTCGTGCTGCGACACCTGCGCAGGTACGTGTGTGTGTATGTCCCCCGCCTCACTGCCCCCCGCCCCCCGCCCCCCGCCCCCCCCGCGCCTCGTGGCGGCGCTGGTGCGGGCGCTGCCGCCGCGCAACCGCGACATGCTGCGCCTCGTGCTGCGACACCTGCGCAGGTACGTGTGTGTGTATGTCCCCCGCCTCACTGCCCCCCGCCCCCCGCCCCCCGCCCCCCCCGCGCCTCGTGGCGGCGCTGGTGCGGGCGCTGCCGCCGCGCAACCGCGACATGCTGCGCCTCGTGCTGCGACACCTGCGCAGGTAGGTGTGTGTGTATGTCCCCCGCCGCACTGCCCCCCGCCCCCCGCCCCCCCCCCCCCGCGCCTCGTGGCGGCGCTGGTGCGGGCGCTGCCGCCGCGCAACCGCGACATGCTGCGCCTCGTGCTGCGACACCTGCGCAGGTACGTGTGTGTGTATGTCCCCCGCCTCACTGCCCCCCGCCCCCCGCCCCCCACTGACCGGCCCCGCCTGCCCGCAGCGTGGCGGCGCGCAGCGACAAGAACCTGATGTCGTGCTCCAACCTGGCGGTGTGCTTCGGGCCCACGCTGCTGCGGCCGGAGCGCGAGACGGTGGCGTCCATCCTGGACCTGAAGTTCTACAACGTGCTGGTGGAGACTCTGCTCGAGCACTACGAACAGATCTTCGAAGACGCGCCGCCGCCGCCGCCGGCGCCGCACAACGGGACGCTCAGGTATGTGCTGCTTGTTTATGTACAAATGCGTTGCCGGTCACTCTGGTGGCCAAAGGCGCCGATTGCTTACTTTCAGGTGAACCTATTAAAAGTAAGTGAGAAGTGTTCCACTTTATGGCAACAACTTTATAGGCATTCATTGTACATCCTGTCGCAGCAGACACCAGTCACTCAGACTAGTGCTCAAAATAAATAGCTACGCGGCACTGAGTTATTGCCCCACACTTGTCACTTGTATCGCTTTGATTTGATTTCAGCTATTCAGCATGTTCAGTATACCGCAATCTTATATACCCGCAGAATACAGAACAAACCAGAATCCGCGTTCACTCATGTGCATGTCGTCAAATGTGTCCAAAAACAATACGTGAGTCCCCCCGCCAGCCGCACTTTCCACCCGCTTAGTGATGCCGGCAGTGGAACAATTCCCTTGGTTTATAAGATATACGTAAATTTACGATGAATGAAACAGACTAGTTGTTTACACATTTCATGCAGGTATTATAAAAGTTGATGATTTCTGGCTATTTTCTTCAGTCTTTTTAGGTTTAAAAATACTAAGAAAATGGTAATATTTATGACAAAGGTGGTAAAACCTTTGTCATAAATATGTTGCTCTTCAAAGTGAATTGAGCACACTATAAAATATGACATAGGTTCCACAATGGACAAAAATATAACTCACAATAAATAATTAATTGGGTAAAATTTTCACCAAAAATGGCCGCATCATTTTCATAGAAAAACTAGCGGCCCGCCCCGGCTTCGCACGGTCCAACTATCTTGCTATCAAAGGGTCGCTTTTTCCTAATCTTCCCCTCTACTTTTCTAATATTTTCTTTGATAAGAACTTTCTCCTGACAATAACAAACACAACAAAGGAAAATTAGCAAAATTGATCCAGGCGTTGTTGAGTTATGCGCTTACCAACACTTGCGATCCATTTTTGTATATAAAGATAAATCGGTAAAAAAAACAATGAATCATTAAATATACTATTGCAGTCGATACTTACAGATGAAATGTAATCTTATCCACTTTTTTCGTAATTCCAGCTCCATTTTTACTCGTAGGAATAACACAAGACGGCATAATAAAATTAAAATGTATACTCGTAAATTATACGTCACGACATGCCACGTCCCAAAATTGACTAATCGTAGAAATTTCATACTACTCTATAACTGAGAGTGGTTTTAGTGGCTTCAGTGTAAAGCGCGTTGACGCCTTCTGGTTTGTTCTGTATTCTGAGTACATACCTCGGCGTTCTCCGATTACTTACAGGTACATTTTAGGAGTATAAATAAAAGTCGGTATATCTGTGTCGTGAAATTACATTTCATTATCTTGTCTAATAAAAGTAGAAGATGGCGGATTATGTCATAGACTGTTGCGTTTATTTTATTGTTTTAAAAAATATTGTTGAGAGTAATTAAACAAAGGGATATAATTGAGGAAGCGAGATTAGTGAACTTTAATGTCGTTTTATAAGGATACGAGCAATATTGGCGACAAGAAATAGTAGTGATAACGAAGAAATTCTACAGAAATTTCTTAATTCTTTAATCCAGAGGGGCATCCCATTACGTTCTTTCAAGTAAAAAATTGGTGCCCCTATTATTTTACTAAAAAATCTTAAGCCACCAAAATGTATGTAACGGGACTCGACTTCAGGTTAAATTTCTTCGCAATAATGTGATCGTTGCAACAACTCTGGCTGGTCCAGCGGTTGGTCAAACAGTATTTATACCTCGGATCCTAATGATTCCAAATGATTTGCCTTTACATGCATCGACAAATATATGACAGGGGCAAACATTAAATATGTAGGATTAGATTTACAGCAAGACTGTTTTTTGCACGGCCACTATATGTTGCGTTGTCAAGATCAGGTTGCGGAAACAATCAATATATTCTTCTGCCACAAGAAAATAAAACGAAAAATATAATTTACTCAGAAGTACTTTAAAATAATAATTTATACCGGTTTAAAATGGACGGACATTCCCGCCTGTAGTCGTAATTCTTATTCTGGCTGAATGTCGAACAGATAAACAGCTATTGCTTACTTGACTTTACAATTTAACATAATCTATATTTTTCCTAATATTATAAACCTGAAAAGTTTGGTTGTTTGTTATGAAGGCGGTAATCTCGGGAAATACTGATCTGATAATTATGAAAACTGTTTAAATATTCAATTGTCCATTTATTGAGGGAGGCGTATGCGTAAAATATAGGCAATATTTTACGCACACGCTGTCTTTCTGTAACAGAAAGGATAGGGGCAGTTTAAAAGTGGAATGAGCTGTACGACCGCCAGCTGATATAGTAGCAGCGATTCCTGATGACGCTACTGCCAAAGCTAGTTTTCCCTGAGACCTTACTTTTGTTAATATCAAATTAGTAATGAAAGTTTTGCCGGTTTCGCTGGAGCATACATAAAAATATTTTTCCCTCATTGAAACGAACACTGTGCATAACACTATTGTATGCAATTACCTGGTCATTAAATAACTTGGGTTCATTTACAGTAATATACTCATTTAATTCATTTACATCGATTTTCCGCAACGACATTTCTAAAGGATCCAAATTAAGGTGTGTGTTATTCCTTGGATTTACTTTTCCTTAGCAGAGTTAGTTTAGAAATGTATTTCGTATACCCTTCAAAGATCTTATACTTACAATCATCAACAAATATATTTCGAAAAAGATATATACATATAAAAAAAAAAAAAAAATTATTACAGGATTTTATATGTTGATAAAGAACCCTATGGTCCGAAACTCATTATTAAGGTACCAACTCTTAACATCTTACACGCGTGATAACTTTTAAACGAAATATCCGAGGAAATAAAAAGTATTTTGCTTCTAAATAAATACTCTTGATAACATAATGCTTAATTCCGATAAAGATTAATATTACGATACATACATAGTCTGGCCATAAATACTGTTACAATTAAAAATAAACAAAATATTACATGTTATATTGAATTTGGAATCTGTCATTTTTATATAATTTTTCATTGTGTTTTCTTATTATGGCGCCAATAAATTGTTCAATATTTTGCGATATTAAAATGGAGTGGGGTGATAAAGAGAACCGAATCGCTGTGATTGCATTACACAAAGTGGGTAGGTATGGAGCCAAATGCAATTTTTTAAATTCTCCACACGCTTGGCATTAGTCAAATGTTTGTGTACCGGGCTATTAATGAGATCTCCTCTTTTTGTGTCAGAAAAAGATCTGGCCCTCCACGTAGTGTTCGTACGAAAAAGGTGGTCAAAGCAGTAAGGGAAAGAATTCGAAGAAATCCTGTCCGAAAGCAAAAGTTTTATCTCGGGAGATGAAGATAGCACCTAGAACCATGTCGCGTATTTTAAAAGACGACTCTGGACTTGCAGCCTATAGGAGAAGCACTGGACATTTTTTAAATGATAATTTAAAAAAGAATAGGGTGATAAAATCTAAACAACTACTGAAGCGGTACGCAAAGGGAGGTCACAGAAAAATTTTGTTTACGGATGAGAAAACTTTTACAATTGAGCAACATTTTAACAAACAAAATTACCGTATTTATGCTCAAAGCTCCAATTAGTCGACAGAGTGCAACGTGGGCATTATCCGACTTCAGTGATGGTTTGGTGGGGTGTTAGCTATGAAGGAGTGACTGAGCCATACTTTTGCGAAAAAGGTATCAAAACATCGGCACAAGTGTTTCAAAATACCATTCTTGAGAAGGTAGTTAAGTCCCTTGACAACACCATGTTCAATAACCAACAATGGTCCTTCCAGCAAGACTCGGCGCCGGGTCATAAAGCTCGGTCCACGCAGTCTTGGTTGGAAACGAACGTTTCCGACTTCATCAGAGCTGAAGACTGGCCGTCGTCTAGTCTCGATCTTAATCCGCTGGATTATGATTTATGGTCAGTTTTAGATAGTAGGTCTTGCTCTAAACGTCATGATAATTTGGACTCCCTAACACAATTCATACGATTGGCAGTGAAGAATTTTCCCATGGAAAGAGTGCGTGCTTCTATTGATAACTGGCCTCAACGTTTAAAGGAATGTATTGCAGCCAATGGAGACCACTTCGAATAAACTTTTTCCCCCTTATTACACACAACAAGATTTATCTTTAGTCCAGGTTTAAACCATTGAGTCGGGTTTTGAATTTAGAATCTTATTGTCATCTACCTTCAATTCGAAATACAAAAACTGGCTCAATGGTTTAGTCCTAGACTAAAGTTAAACCTTGTTTTGTAATAAGGCCGTTTATGTTTTAAATTGTTTTATATTTATGTATTAAACTTACATACTGTAAAAGTAATAAATGTTATTTGCAAAAGAAAATTTTTTTTTTTATTTGTTACAGTATTTATGGCTAGACTAGGTATTCAACGCTTTTTTTTCTTCAGACGATTTATTAATTATTTTGAACACAAAATCGGATATTGTGATTTAACCACGATATAAAGATATATGCTTTTGCGGACTTTTTTGAAGGTTTTAATAGAATCTACAAACCCGTAGTACATCATTTTGTTCTAATGTCAATAGTTTTTGCAGCGCACGCAAAAATAGGTTTTCGATTTTACTCCTTGTGTTACAAAATAGCAATATTATAACGGATCCCTAATTTTGAATTTAACAAAATATAGCCTATAGCCTTCCTCGATAGATGGACTACACAACACTGAAAGAATTATTCAAATCGGACCAAAGAAAAGATTAGCGCGTTCAAACAAACAAACTGCAGCTTTATAATATTAGTATAGAAGTATAGATTTTATTGAGGATTTTCGATTAAACCACAATTTGTTTCTCTGAAAATGCAAAGATTTGTTTAATTTGACACTCCTTCACAATGTTGTAATAATTATCATTTAACTTTGACAATATATCTTACCTGAAAACACAAGAATAAAATATCCTTATATCTGTAAAAAATACAAGTTGCCCTTACTTGCATAAATTATCAGAAGTCCCTCCCTATCTATAACATATTAATGAACCTCAAAATGTGCTGGTAAGCGCATAACTAACAACGCCTTTACCGATTTCATTGATTCTTTTTTTTTGTGTTTGTTATTGTCAGGAATTTTTGAAAAGTTAGGGGGATAATCGGGAAATAGCAGCCAGGAAAATAACTAGATACCCGTGCGAACAGGAGTGCAGCATTCTAGGTTTTAATATAATTACATACTACTCGTACTTATACAACCTTATCAAAACACATGAACCGTAAAAAATATGGTACAAAATATCTGAGCGTATCGGGCTATGAAAACAAAAATGAAAATCTTTATTCGCAGAGACATGGTAAATACAAAAGGTGGTAAAACAAAATAAGTCACTTGCATATCTTGCCTTCAGTAGGCATGCGAACATTAATAACATAAATAAATGTTTAAACTTATACTAAGTAGGTACCCAAATTAAAATTAACATGACAGATTCCAAATTCAAATGTAATATTTTGTTTATTTTTAATTGTAACAGTATTTATGGCCAGACTAGGTATATATAGAAGATTAGCTTTTTCCTTTCTGCTTCTGATAATGGTTCAGATAACATCAAAACAGCGTGTTTTGGTCTGCACCCACGACCGTTTTGTGGTTGTTTATTGGAATGACAGCACTCGGACAAAGGTAAATATTACTATAATAATAAAGGTTTAATAATTTAAAAACGGCAAGGATGGGCTCCAAAAACAGAATTACTCAAAAATAATGTGTACATACTACAAGTGGGCAGCGTAAAGACTAGGTCAAGTAAACGTGTACCCCTGTAGGTGTAGAGCTGGGCGCGCTACCTGCGCGTCCCTCGTACGTCGCGCTTTTTGTTCGGTTTGTTGTAGTGCGCGCGTATTGTCGGCGCAGATGGCGCGGCCGCACAAAAAGTGCGCACAGCTGGCACACGCACAATGCGCGCCGCGCTTTATTCAGCCATCTTCTTACCACTGTACCGGGCTCCGACGTTTCATTCAAATTATCTTTATACTAATTTTGTCTATACAACTTAACACTTTTACGTTGCATTCTATTATCAATGTTAATGAGATATTATTCGGTGCGTTAATAGTATCTTTATTATGTTCCAAGTACTCCTCGTTAAGTTAAGACTAATTATAAAAGACACATCAACTATACATTTATATTTTAAAGCCAAATTGTCGAGGTAAGAACAGAGCACGCAAGCGTAGTCGTGTATTGAGAGCATTTGCTGTGAGTTCAGCAGTAAGCACGCAGCGGTTGTATGAAATGTGAAATTATAAAGCATAGCACCGAGTCGAGTATCGAGTAATATGTTACGGTAAATATTATTAATTTGAATTTTTACTTAATTATTAATTACTAGCTACTCTCGCGCGGTTTCACCCGCTGCTCAGCTTCATTTGATCGTTGCGTGATATTTTATGGCCTATAGCACTCAGGAACATTGTAGCTATCTGTCAGTGAAAGAATTTTTGCAATCCGACCAGCGGTTCCAATGATTACCTCCTACATACAAACTTACAAACATAAAAATTTTACCCATTTATAATATTAATTAATTAATAATAACTACAGTTTTTGGTAAATATGAATATGAATAAACCATCAAAATGTATTACTCTTAGTTGTAATTATTAATAACTAGCGGCCCGCCCACGCATCTTTGATAAGAACCTTCTCCTGTCAATAACAAACACAACAAAAAAGAATTAGCAAAGTTGGTCCAGGCGTTGTTGCTTACCAAGACATTTTGCGATTCATTTTTATATATATAATATAGATTCACGACACATATTGGTGAAAGTTATAAAATAAAGAAATACCCAATGTTTTTTTACCCTTGTGGTCATTCATCAATATTAAACACAGTTTTATCAATTAGAGATCGCACAAAAAGGTTACTTGTAATGTAATGGCTTTAAAACGAAAGGACAAAACATTTATATGTATATACTCAACTAGAATATGAAATAAATCAATCTAAATGAGCACAATTATTACCAAATTAACAATAAAATTCTTATAAAAATCTACTATGAACCTCAAACGCCCCGCCCCGCAACCCTTGGCCACGTATTACAGTTGTCACTCAAGGTCAAATTATTAATAAAACCGACAAATGTGATTTATTTATCACTTTAACCTCGACTTTCGGTAATTATTAAGTCTTCGATTATTTACTTTTACCGTAACAAATATATTATACAGTATAATGCACTCGCAAAAGTAGCTTGAAGTGTGCGGGGGGAGGGAGGGGAGCTGAAACCTTACGGGAGATAAGAATGCAGCGCGGCAGCTGCGCGTGCGCGGAATGTCCACCTGCCGGCAGCCTGCGCCTGCGCCGCGCCGCCCCCGGCAGGTGCGCGCTGCCTCGTGTGGCTATCTAGGCACCGAGAGCAACGTCTGGCTCTCCCGACCTATCTCTTCGACACTAACAATCACAGCAAAAAAGGTTTACATAAAGCTCTAGTCCCAATCTTATCGTAAGATAACGATGTTTGCTTTTTTCGTTAATGTCTAATAGAATTGACTAGATAACTATTCGAAAGTATTTAGGCTTAGCAATCACTGCCGATTGTTCACCTCTCATAGAGCAGAAATATGAGATGTTTATTATAAGATGTAGAGGACGTCTCGTAACTTGATGTTGCGGGTGTTAGCGCAATGATGTAGGAGCGGGATGTATGTTGGTCAATCAGAGTCTGACGTTCCCCTTGTGCTACCCGGGGTGGAAGAATTGTTGAGCCGTACCATATAAATTAAGAAATACCTACCCACCAGAAACATCAGGAGCAACAGCACCCTACTTCCTTGAAGATGCTGCGGGCACTGCTTTAACACTGAGTCTAGTCTTTACCGTGTATCGACCGAAAGTTGCCGTTACCTATAAATAATGAATCAAGCTGTGCCAGTCGTGTTCCTATACATACTCGTGCAATGCAAATCCAATGCGGTTGAGGTAATTTTCGGAGTTAGGGTGGGCTCGGAGATGTCGGCGAGTTGTTAGTGTAATCGGAAAGAGAGGTCGCAGGCGGTAGTGCGACGACACATCGCGGGCGGCGGGCGGCGCAGGTGCGGGCCCACCTGGCGCGGCGCGTATATAGCGGCGCGCGCGGCCCGCTGCGCAGTACTGCGCCGGCCGCCGCACGCTGCGCATCTCCTCAGCAACCCACTCTGTGCGCCATGATCATCTGCCTCTCGGGCTTCGTGATAGCAGGGTGCGTGTCCGCCCGCAGTGCCGCGTCACGTGTCGCTTCCCGACGTGCTCACTCATGTGCTTCTTGTTGTTGCAGGACTTCTCCCACGTCGATGGCGCTCTCCGCACGGAACGATATCGTAAGTACTGTTCTCCTATTGTTTATTCAGGCAGGGCCATAATATATATATATATTGCACAAATATAAAATAATGCCACAAACATATAACTACAGTACTGCATTCAATTAAATTAAATCTGAAATTGCCGCAATCAACGTCCAATAATTAGTCCTTTACCGTGATAGCTTAATTATTAGGTTACCGGGAATTAACTCCTATTTTATCGTAATCAGGGTCGCGGTGTCGATGTGATCGTCAATTGTTGGTTTGTGTGATTGCTAGCGAAAGTATAATGAATGATCATTTACATGTTGTGGTCGAGTCACCTGATCTAGTAATGGTGCAAGTTGCTTACTGATCATTTTATATCTGACTGCGGTACTCGGGTGAAAAGGAGCCTATCTGTTATTCCAGGCTATATTCTATCCTTGCCAGTTTTCGTAAAAAAATATTCTATGATACTTACGCGATAAATAAACGAATCCATACTGTAGCTTTATTATATTATTTTTAAATCTATGACTGTCGCAATATTTTAATGAATTTCTAAAATAACTGAATCATAGAAATGTAGCTACAGGTTAAAATATTGTACATTATTTCGCTGACTGTGATTGTCACTTTACTTATATTTTTTTCAATTTGAAGTTACAAGGACGGATCACGGTTTATTTGAAAGACAAGTTAAACTTGTTCTGAGCATGCAGTTTTGGGCATCAACAATTGCATTAATTTATTGTAACAGAGAAAACACCTTAAATGCTAGATAATAACATAAATAACAGAACATGACCTCGTGCTTCCTCACTTAGTAGTACAGTAGCAACAGCATGAATACAAATTGTTAATGTTGTATTATTTTTTTTAAACAATGTTGTTTTAATCCAAATTTTAAGAAATGAGGTTAAAAAGAATGTATTGAACAAAGTTTTTTTTAAATAGCCTATAAAAGCATACACCCACCAAACATAGTAGTATGGGAGCTAGCAACGTTTTCGAGAAATAATTTCAGGTTGAATTTGTGATACATCGTCCCTCTTGCTTTTTTTTCTCGGCTTATTCTGCAACCGTCACTCTCGTAGCATCATACTACAATAGTTATCATTACTTTTTAATTTTATTTCAACAATCGAATTACTGTCTGGCAACTTTTTATCTTTAAATAACATTAAGTATATTAAAATTACAGACTATAAAGTACTTCTTTGAAATTTTAATAAAAACAGTATCGTGGGTGGCTCATAATTACCGTGTCAAAAATGTCTGGCAATTAAAAAAGGTATATCAGGTAGACTCAATTACGGCCTCCGGTCAGACAAGGAGAAGGTAAGGGGGTTTTTAGTCAGTAAGAGT